CATTTATGTCTAACAAGCTTGATTCTTTTGATAGCGCTTATACATTATGGAAATTCATAGAAGCGCATCAATGAGACTTGGAGGCGATCCGACAAGCTTTGGAGGATCCCGCTTCAAGTTCTAAAGGAGCTTCATGCACACGAGCACTAGGCGATAGCCCTAGTGAGGTTTGCGAGTTCGAATCTATTAATGATTTACCTAATGATGAACTCGCTTGTGCTAGTGAAAGATTATTGCATGTATAACTTATTGCATAAAAATTTTATTGATTTAAAAAGCAAGCATGAGGATTTGAAATCCGATCATGAGTTGTTAGCATCTAAGTTTGATACTATTTCTAATGAAAATATGATCCTTAAAGAAAACAATGAAAAATTAAAATTGGATCATGATTCTTTGCTTTCAAACTTTGCTAAGTTAACTCATGAAAGAGATAATGTCATGCTAGAAGTAGTAGCTATTAGAAATGATTTTGATAACCATACATGCTCTACTTCTATTATCAATGATGTTGTGCATAATGATGATTTGAATCTTGTTAAGGAACGCATATCATGCTTAGATTCAACTTTAAAAACATGCATTGATAACCATAAGAAACTTATGGACAAGTGTGCTAAATCTAGTGCTAAAAAATCACCTACAAACTATGCACACTTGTATAGCAAAGTTTATAAATGCTCCATTTGTGATCGTAAAGGCCATTTAGCTAAATTTTGCTATAATGCACAAAAACATAAGAATGTTAATCTTTCTTGTGCATCTCATCAAGTTTCTTCATCACATGTATACACACATGCACCTATTGCTTATCATAAGCATGCTCACGTGTATCATTGTGATTTTTGTGGTAGAGTTGGTCACTTAGCTAAGTTTTGTTTTGATTTGCGAAAAGTTTCTAAATCGCAAAATATTTTAAGTAGACCAACATTGTTTCAAAATGTTTCTCATTTGCAAAATAATCTTAAAAGACCATCTTTATTTGCAAATATTCCTCGTGCACATCCACATGGTCAACATAATCAAATGCATCATCTTCATTGTACTTATTACAATCGAATGGGTCATTTGCATAATTATTGCTATTACCGGACCCGTGCACTAAATGCGTCCAAATGGGTTCATAACCCAAGGACTTTGAGCTTTAATGATAGGGGTCATGTCCCTAAACAAACCGGCACCAAGAATACTTGGGTGCCAAAATAATTTTTTAAGCCAAGAATTTTAGTACCTTTTTTTCTTTTTCTTGGTTTTAAAAAATGTATTTTAAATTTTTATGAAAACAATTCATTTTATTGGTCAAACTCTTTTGTTTTCATGATTATTAGTTTTGTTTTGATGAGAGGTTTGTACTTACATAACCCTCCGGATTTATTGGGTGTTTATTCCCAAATCTTGTTTATCGGGTGCTAAAATGTTTATATGGGTTGTTACTAGCTCAAGAGATAGATATGGTTGCCTCTCATGATTTTTTGAATCAATGATGATTTGGTCTTACGTTTTTGGATTTAAACTTTGATTTATGATTTCTTTTGGTTGATTTGTTTTCATTTGAAAACTTTTTACATTATTCTCATGTTTCTCTTCTTTTGATTTCATAAATCTACCTCTACAAAGGGTTTTTATGTTCTTTGATATGAGAAACTATTTTTTACTTTGATATATTTATATATATTCTCATTGTCTTTATGTATGTGAGTTGTGTTTAGTATTTTTTTCCATCTATGCTTGCTCACATATGTTTACCATGATCTTCATTTCATACATTCATGAGGCATTTTGATAGGGGGAGCAATCCCTATATCTTTCTATGTGTTATACTCATCTATACTTATTGATAGGGGGAGCTTTCGCTGTTTTCATCCTTTTATTGTCCCCTTTTTGATGTTGTCAAAAGGGGAGAAATATTATGAGTATATTCTTTCTTGTTTATATGCATGATATATTATATTTTGTATATTCATTTCCTTTCATGCATATATCCTTTTTGTAAATTATTTGTCATCATCAAAAAGGAAGAGATTGTTGGCCTTCTTGTTTTGATGATGTTTAACAAACAATTTACTTCTAATATTGTTTGTCTAGTGTTTGTGTTTTCGTATTTATTCTAGACAAACAACGTGTTGGAGGATGGATGGATTGCGTCATAACGATCATATCAAATGGAGGTTGGCGGAATTATGGAGTGAAGCAGCCTACAATTCAAGTTAAAGATCAAGTTCAAGCTTCATCCGCAAAGTGTACCAAGTCGAGCTCAATGAAGATCAAGATCATTGCTTGGGTATATTTAGTATAGATTTATATTATGTGTGTTTAATACTCTAAGCTCAATATCATATACACACACAATATTGGATTTTCTCACAAAATGAGCTATTTTGAGAAAACTTTGTGATATTGTTTTATTGACCATGTTTACTTTATATTCATGTGTTATAATGTTTATGAAAACATTTCATAAAGTTTCAATATGCGTTTAAACTCTTTTTGTCAAAAACATATTCTTAACAAATTCATATTCATGCATGTTTTTACAAAATAATGAGTTTTCACAATTGAGAAATGAAAATGGAAAATTTATTTTTGTAACATGTTTGTTTTCATGTTTATAAATATTTTGCAAAGTTTCATCAAGTTTGGAATTGATTTGTTATGTTTAATGGAATTTACAAAATCATGTTTTTCATTCGTGCATGTTCGTGCATGTTTTACAAAACAGATGAGTTTTTATAAATGGGAAGTGATATTCAAGAAATTCTTTCTTTGACATGTTTATCTACATGTTTAGAAACTTCCCGCAAAATTTTACTATTTTTGGAGTTGATTTACTGTGCCCAATTGATTTTACAAAATCGTGTATGTCTGCAGTTTTTCAGAAACTGTAAATCTGTGTTCAAACATTTATTTCTCTCAACTGGGAAATTATTTTTCAGAAATTCTTTCTCTAACATGTCATTCTACATGTCTAGAACCTTCCCACAAAATTTCATATTTTTGGAGGCTATAAAAACCCTCTTTGATCTCAGTTTTCATGTACTCAAGAAATGTTTTAAACAAGTTTAAAGAGTTTTAAACAAGGGTTTAAGTGTGTTTTAGTGTTTGTTTGGTTTGAAGATTGTTTTCACAAGTGGAGGAGATCATCTTCTTGTTTGGGCTCCAATCTCCATCTCTCCATCTTGTCATCTATTGGAGAAGTTTTCTAAACTCTATCTAGCTTTACATTTGCTTAGTTATTTGATTATTATTCTTTAAAGCTAGTTTTTTATATTGAGTTTAGATTTGATTATATTATCTCATTGTTACACACACCCACTTGAGCTTATTGTATTTGCATACATAGTATATTAGGGTTGTGAGAGATTATAACATTGAGTTGTGCTTAATTGTGTTCTCATTTATTGTAGAGAACAAATTTATATTTGTTACATTGTGAGTGGTGTAAGGTTTTCGGTGAGCTAGAAAACCGAGTGTGTTGTGAAGTTTTCGGTGAACTAGAAAACCGAGTGTGAGGAGTGAACGTTGTTCGGTGAGCATTGAAAACCGACACTGTGAGGTGTAAACGTTATTCGGGTGAGCGTAGAAAACCCGGTTGTGATAGTGGATTTCTCCCCGGGAGTGGGGAGTGGAGACGTAGGACGGAAGGTCCGAACTCCGTGATCATATAGTGTGTTTGAGTGTGCTTTGACGTTCATTTATATTTATGTTCATATCTTATATCGCCATTGTCCATAGCTCATTATTTATATGATCCACTATCTAGTTCATATTGTTTACCTCTTGTGTTAGTTTATATATCCTTGCATATATATATAATTCATCATATAGGATATATCTCATTGCTTACATTGCTTATCCTAGCTCATATATCTTGTGGTATTTCATACTTGCTAGGATAACTTATTAATTAATTTTAATTGGTATTTAATCGGATTAGATTAGCAAAAGACCCTAATCACCCCCCTATAGGGTCTAACAGATCAGAGTTCAAAACTTGCTCTGCAAGTTCTTCTAAAACTCGCTCTGAGTTATTAACTCGTTAAGAGTTATTTTCAAACTTGCCACGCAAGTTCTCCACAACGTCAAATCGTGAGGAGAAGACCACGTTCCAGTGAAACAAGACGTGCGGATCGTCAACGGAGAGCAAATTCGACGCGAGCATTCGAAGGAGGCACTCCATCGCCACCGTGAAGAACCCAGTTTTAAACAAAGGGGAGAATCAAATTCATTCTCCTCTCTTTTGTAATTAGGAAATCCAATTGTAATTGAGATCGAAGGAATACAAATCAATTTTTCTTTCATTTCTTTTACTACAAATTTTTCACCAAACAATCCCCGACTTCCGCTATCCGATAAGGATTTTGATTGTCCAATAAATCCCCGATAACCGATATTTAAAACCTTGGTTACTAAATCAATGGACATGTTAATTTATCATATAGTACAAGATATGAATATATGATATGATAAGTGTACATATCTGACAACTTTGAAAATAATTTATGGATATAATAATGATAAAAATGTATGCATTCGTCTCTTCCTGTGTGAATAAAATATTATAAATGCAAGTTACACAAATCAATATTTATGTGAACAGTCATGTGACTCCTCAGAATTCCATATTAAAAATTGTGCCAAATTATTTAAATGCAATAATGTAATGGGCCAACGTTAGCAGCCCACATTAGCCCCCCAAAAGATGGGATAGTAGGGAGATCAACTAATACTTTTTGAAAAAAAAAATTAATTGTTGAACTGGTATAAGAAGTGTAATACAAAATAAATTAGTATTCATGAATTTCTATAAATAAATAAAACATGCTCATTTACAGTCATGGTCACAAGGGTTTAAATAACAAATTTTAAGGAAGCATGACTAATTATGACTATTTTGACAAGGGGTATAATTCAAGTGCATTAGGAAAATGTAAATGTATAGTGTGCACACAGTTTATGTATCTATCAAAATGAAATGAACTGAATGTTATCTTACTACCAACCTGTTTAAGAAACTCATCATGCCAGTTGTCAAGAGTCTCAAAAGACTTGAGATGGTTAACATCGTATACGAGCACACAGCAATCTGCTCCTCTGTAGAATGCAACACCAAGACTCTGAAACCTTTCTTGGCCTGCTGTATCCCAGATCTACCAATAAAATAGCACAGTTATTAAAACCAAGGTTTGATATGAGAATTGGCCATGTAAGTAAGAATGATCTCTCACCTGCAAAGTCACAAGCCTATCGTCAATCTGTAGTTCTTTGGTGACAAAATCAGCGCCAATGGTAGCTTTGTATTGTTGACTGAATTTATTGTGCACATATCTAATTTAAGAGTCAGGAAGATCAACTTGAAGAATAGCAGTTTGGTAAACCTGATTCTGATAAAAAGCTATCAAGACACTGCAGAAATTGTTCACAATCCAAATAGGCGAGGACCAGTGCATCAAGTTAACATATTTCTCACAAGAACTGACAAGATAATATAGACTGCCGATACAAATGTTACAAGTACAACTCAATTGCAACAATCAAGAGAATGAGTGGCACAAGTAATGAACAAAATTTAAGGCTATGAACATTTATTTCATTATTTGACTAGAGGGTCCAATTCAATAGAAATTCACAATAACAGCCAATGTTACAAGAGGCGCTAGGCGGACAAGGCATTTAAGCCAGCGCCTAGACGCCTTTGTGTACGCCTAGGTGATGCCTAGGCATTTGGTTATTTTTAAATTATTTAATTATATTAATTAATAAAAATATGTATTAAATTCATATATATTGCAAAAAAAATAGCAATCTTAGATCCACAATAAACCATGCATTATACTTAAATACTAAATAACGAAAATAATAACTAACAAGGTTATACAAAGCACTAGGAGACCTAGACGTTGGACCCGACGCCTAGAACCTAGAAGGTTTCCTTTTTTATTTTTTAATTACAATAATTGATAGTAAATGTCAATATTATAGAAAATTTAGGTGTTGGACTGGTGTCTAGGTGAATTTATTTCTTCATTTAAGTGGTGTTCGAGGAGGTTTTGTTGCGTTGGCACTTGTGGTTAAATCTGGAATAAAATAGATAAATCTGTTAAAGAGTTGAAGTACTGTATTTTAAAACTTTTCAAGTTTAGCTGTTGTGTGTTTAGGAAATATTGTGCTTAAAGCAATATTTGACGTACTCCGGTGCATGGATCCTAAGGCCAACTGTTTTCAGGAACAACAATACAGTACACTGGTATGCACCAACTAGAACTGTCAAGGTCTACTCGATTTATAAGGCAAAGATCTCCTCGATTTATCAAACCTTTCGGTTCAAAACCTTTCGGTTCAGGCAAAAGATCTTTCGATCTTAAACAACCTTTCGGTTCAGGGCTCTGTACCTTCGGGCATAGATTAAAGCTTGCACGCTTTCAAATTCTGCAGCAGCAACACAACAGCACAAAGAGATTTTCGTCTATATTTTTCGTATCACTTTTTCATATGTCCAAGAGCTCCCCAAGAGGCACTATATATAGGCCTCTAAGACCAGCTCAAAGGTCACCCATATTTAATTTAACTGTTACAAATATAATGAAAATTATGACAATTATGTTTGTAACATTAAATAACATAAATGTTATAACTGTTGCATGCAGTAACGTCTGAACGCAAAGGTCATGATCCTACGCAACACGAGGGTTGCATCCAGTCTCGCGCGAACGCGAAGGTCACGTTCCCTCTTGTGAACGCGAGGGTCGCGTTGCGAACCCGAGGCTCGCCAGAGCTGCGAACACGAGGCTCGTCCGCATGCTGCGAAGCAGCAGCCAACGTGGCGCCACCTAGCCCCGATGCCTCCGTGCAAAGTACAAAGTGCACCTAACAAAACACCGCTTAGCGCCTCAGCCTGATTAGTCCTGATCCCCGGTCTATTGGCCCACGGCCCACAGCCCATGAGCCCACGGCCCACGACCCACGATCCACTAAAACTTATGAGAGATTAATTAAATAAAAATAATTCATGGCTTGCCGTTGGCAAGCCTCAAACACAGAACCTTTGAGATATCAAAACTTTAACTTTCCGCTACGCTACTAAGAATTTCTAAAAAATACTAGTAGTTAATAAATACATAGTTTGAAAACTCATTTTCGGAAAGCGGTTTTGACCAAAAATATCCAACATGTTGAAGGTTGGAGGAGATAGTGAATGTGTTCATCTTTGGAGGTTAAAGGAGTTTAAAGGAGGTTGGAGGACACGGAGGCTGCAACACAAAAATCACGATCAAGGCCTAAAGAATGCAGTCCACATAAGCAGACAGTGTCTCCTAAACACTCCCAAAATCTAGGTGGCAGCCTAGGTACCGCCCAGATGCTAGACGCTAGTTAGACGGCCTAGGTACCGCTTAGGCTTAGGTATACGCCTAGGCAGACTAGGCGGAGGCTTTTTAAAACAGTGATAATAGCAGATAAAGAACTTGCATGATTGTCATGATTAAAATTAAAGAAGAAAATTTTAAGGCTGCTCAGCTGATAAGCGTCAAAATTAAGCAATCTCCAAGTAAATTTACAATACCCTAATTTAGATTGCAACCCTAACCAATTCAATAGCAAATCCGAACTAACAAATTGGAAACGATTCAAACCTTACTTAACTCACGATCTCCAATACCTAAATTTACCAAGAAACTGGAAACCCTAGATCAATTCCACTAACCACACCATTTTCCACAATGCATCAAAACTTCCAAAAACCTAACTGAATCAAAAGAATCGATCAAGGATACTGATTCATCAGCGACGTTTTGCCCACTCTGCCATCAACCAAACAACAAAGAATCATGAAATCTACCAAAATTCATTTCGAAACCCTAGAAATACGAAGCGATCTAAGAGAATCTCTCACCCGCTGTCGCCGAGAACGATGACTTTGAGCAGCGTCCGCCTCCGCGTCGCCATCGCCGATCGAAGAGAAATGAGGAACGAAAAGAAATTAGAGAGGATAGGGAGGGGTTATCTGAAAATTTTTAAGGGTATCGCAATTCTCGAGGCTTCTTCGGATCTCAGCGGAGGCGCCAGCCAGCGCAGCGTTTTGAAAAACAATGATTTTGATAAAAATAAGCGCACTAATAAACGACTACTGTTCCCCGTTTTTTGGGGCTCCTTTGGTTAATTTTTTCCTAATGCGTATTAATCCCCCATGAACCTAGTATTTGCATATAAGTTTTGTAATCATTACATGTATTATCCTTTTTCGCTTTTACTAAGAAATTCTTCAATTACTACAAAAAAGGTTGATCATAAAAAAGAAAAATGTAAGGAAGAAGGGTAAGTCAAGAAAAAGTCTGATTTCGAAGTGATTTTTGAACCAGCTTGAATTGATTTCTCATGTCTAAATAGGACTGATAAATTTTAGCTTTTCATATGGTAACTCTTAATTGTTACTACTTCTCTTTAAATCAACTTTTTATGAAATTATCTATGCATATATCTAAACGAGTCTATAAAACCTTTCGTCTCTTCCTTCTCTCTAGAAAATAATACCTCAATTCATCTATAAACGATCTTACTTCAATCCAGCCCTTTGTAAAAAAAAATAAATCAGTAAATACTCACCTAATTAACTAATTTTATAAGACATAAAAATATCAGTAAATTTATATCAGTTTTGGATCATTGTTGGATGAAGGGTAACTAATTCTTTAGATTTAGCGAAGAAATTGGAGAAGAACATGTTCTGATAAGCAGGAAACATTTTGGAGGCTTCACGGTCAACCGCGAACTTTGCGAAGGTCGACCGCGAACGTGCACAAGACAGGATGGTCTCTGGATTTTTAACGGTTGACCGCGACAACATGTTCGGTCGACCGCGGACCCTGTAATCGATTTACGTGGTTTCTGTCGTTCTGTCTGATTGATCGCGACGTCAAGTGCGGTCGACCGCGAGTAGGGTTCGGGTCTATTTTGGTTTCCTGTTCTGTTTAGGATTAGTGTTTGGTATAAATACCAACACACGTTTTAGGGTTTCTTTGGGATTGTTTTTTGGGGTTATTGGAGCACAGAAAAGAGAGATCTTTCTGAGCTATTGGTTAGGGTTATTGTTTGAGAGATCGAGAGCTTTGTTGGTGAGATTAGTTGATTTGTTTTGAGTGATTTGTAATCTCAGTTTATACTCTTCTTCTCTATTAGTAAAAACTCATCCCTTTCTTGCCCCGTGGACGTAGGCAACTTGTCGAACCACGTAAAAATTTATTTGTTTGTGTCCATGTTATTATTTTGGATTCTTTGTCTTTCTCTCTCGGCGTTTGGTTTGGTTCCTCGAAGCATAACGATTGGTGGCTTTCGCGCATAACAAGTGGTATCAGAGCTTTGGCTATGCTTGGGTTAGGTGGAGGAGTAGATCGCTGTGGAAGTTCGTCTAGGGATTCAGTTGGTGATAAATGTGGGATTTTTTCTATTTGTGGATCTCGTTTTCGTCACGTGGGGTGAGATCTTTCGGAGGCCCTTGTTAAGGTTTTAGTTGGAGGTAAAAATCTCTCTTTTCAGTTTGGATCTATTCTTTGTTTGTTTCGCATTGTTTTGTTGGTGCTTTGAGAAAGATGGTCAAGAAAGAAGGAGTTGTCGAGGGTACTTTCGGCGTGAAGACCGTCCAAAGTTTGAATATCCACTCTATAAAAATAGATGTGGAGAAGTTTAATGACACAAACAATTTTAGTCTTTGGAGATGTGAAGTCTTGGATGCGCTCAACGCGTAAAATTTGGAAGATACATTGGAGTTGGATGGGAAACCGGACGATATTGAGGAGAAGGTTTGGAAGAAGATGAATCGACCAACGTGTGCTGTGGTTAGATCTTGTTTAACTCAAGATTTGAAATATGATGTGATCAATGAGACTTTGGCTAAGAAGATTTGGGAGATCCTTGAGAGCAAGTATTTGACGAAGAGTATGAAAAATTGCTTGCATTTGAAGAGGAGGCTTTATCGCTTCTAATTGAAGAAAGGAACCTCCATTAGTGATCACATGAACTACTACACGAAGCTTCTTACGGATTTGGCGAATATAGATGTTATGGTTGAAGATGAGGACAATGTGTTATTATTGTTGAGTTCTTTACCCGACGAAAAATATGAGATCTTCGTTCTTACTCTTATTAATGGGAAGACATCTCTTTTATATAGTGAGGTCACCACTGCACTTGTGAATTATCAGCTTCAGAAGAAGGATACTAAGACTTTAATTGAGCCGGTAGCGAGGACATTGGTCGCAAGAGCAAAGAGTCCAAACCAAAATAGGAGGTCACAGTCTAGAGGGGCACATCCTGGAGTTCGTAGGAAGCAGTGTTTCTTTTGTAAAAAGGATGGACATTAGAAAGCCGAATGCCAAAAGTTGACAGATCGAGCTGGGAAGAATAAGGGGAAAACTATTCAAGCTTCAGCGGTGAATGTTGCCAAGGCTAGTGTCACGCCCCGCTTCCCAAAATACCAGGGAATCGGGACGTGAGCAAGCCCGCGACGTATTAGACTGAGAAGAGATAAGTGCTAGACCCCGTCTTCTCAATCTAATACGCTAAGCGTCAAGAAATACAAACAATGCGAAGCCACAGGTCCCCGATCACACATAGCAAGAATATAAAGACAACCCAGAATAAAAATAGACATATCATCAATGGTGAATCATCCCAGACATGAAAATATGGGTCCAACATACCCTTATACAAAACTGAACAAATGAATGCTGAGGAGATACAAAAATACATCGATCACTGAAAAGAAAGAACTACAAAAAAATAAGCTAAGACCATCGAACAACTGGAGGGAATAACTAATCTTCGGCTTCTTTTTCTGCTTCATCTGCAGGGCACTCCTACTGAGAATCCTCTGGCTCCTAATGATCTCCCGGCTGAACCTGTTCTTCTCCTAAGTCTGACGTACACCAGAGAAAACAGGTGTACGTCAGGTGCATAACGCACGGCAAGACCCGACCCCACAAGGAAAATAGAACGACCGAAAACACAAGCGGAAAACGATACGAAAACCGAAATAACAAAAGAACGTGCAACTGGTAATCTAACAAAATCAACATGCAATCCACATGATAATCATAAGAATCCGTAAATCATTCAGGTAACAAAAACATGCAGCTAGCGATCAGAACAATCATCCAAGTATCAGGGACATACAATAGATGGAATTAATACCTAAAAACCTACAACATGAGACGTAGTACATCGAGCGAAATAATCCAAACAAGGAAACCCTCATGTATATACCATATGTCTCAAATTGTAGATAATTAAATGTTAACCCTAATCTATGTATGAAAAGAACACAACTGGCCTAAATCTCACAAGAATCATACTTAGCCAAGAATTAAGATCATGTAACTAGCCATCCTATCTCAACTCACTGGTCCACATCTCACATAGAGTCAACACTCATATCATCGGATAACTGGCTGTTCACAAATCCTCTACGTGCACCCAATACGCCGCTACACTGGATCGGTCAGAGGGCTACACGCAATCCGATTCCGACCTGGTTCGAACTCAAGCAAGAATCAGGTGAATATCAAGCTCACGGACCAAAGTGGCTACACTGGCTCCACTTTGACCCAACAAACCAACCCCAAGCTACACTAGATCATAGGGAGGCCTGGAAGATACATCAACAGCCTTATCCGATCACATGAACATGGACTTTCCCATCCCAACTCTCTTGTATTTTCTAAATCAACCATATTCCTCATTGAAACTCGGGTTCACCACCTAAACTCAGTCAACAACCCACACATGTCACTAGGTTTGTTCATGACGCACAATGGCACTAAGTCATGAACTACTAATGTTCTCAAACACAATAGGAAACAATAAGTACAACCAATCATGGCGCAACAATATCATAACATATCACTAATTAAAATGAGAATCACACCTTTAAAAAATATCCTTTAAATTAATAAATTTATTACTCCAAAATGATTTCTCTATCAAATAAATCCGGTTATTATTCCTTGTTTAATTAATCCAAAATAATTCCATTTCCCAAAATATCTCTTTTAAATACATTTCTAAAAACATTCTTTTTAATACTTTCCTTCTTACAAAATATTATTCTTGTCTAATTAAAAACTAATCATAAATAATTTTCTTTTCAACAATAATTCTTTAATTTGATTTATAATTATTCTTAAAATATTTTCTCTTCCAAGATAGTTTCCTTTTAATTATTATAATTTCATCTGAAAAAAGATCCGTTCTCAAAATAAAATTCTTTTTAAATTAGCTAATCATCTCAAAATTAATTCTGAATACCAAATACTTACGTTTAAGATTTAATCATTCTGAAAATGTTATTATCCATGAATTTATCTAATATTATTTTCCCAACAACCCCACGCAGATAATTATTTCACAATTCAAAATATGCAGATAATTCATATATTATCTAACAATAGGTAAAGAATGGACACACTGGCAGCAACTGGATTTTGCCTACGGCGACGGTGCGGATCGTCGAGCGGCTCTGCGAGCGAGGAACCGGCGTCGTTCGTCCATTGCGGTCGCGGCGAGCGAGGAGCTGTTCGACGACGCGTCGCTCGGGTCTCTGGCGGTGTTGTGCCGTGTGAGAGCTCGGTGCAGGCGGCGAGGGCGGCCACGGGCTGTGCGGCCGGCGAAAGATGGTGTGAGCGGTCGACGGGTGGTGCAGCTGTCGGAGCCGTCAGAGAAGGCGGATCCTGCGGTCGTCGAGGCGGTATGTTCGAGGCTGAGGGAGGTGACGACGGCGGTGCGGATCCTGGGCGACGAGCATGGGGAGGTCGACGGCCACGAAGGAGACCGGCGATCAGCGGCGAGAGAGGAGAGGGGAAGGCGGTGGTGCGGTGGCAGCAGGCGATCTCAGCGTCGTTGAGGAGCGCGGCGAGCGCCGGCAAGGGCTGGCGGCGTCGAGGGTCAGGAGAGGAGAGCCTCGCGTGGGGTGGAGACGGCGGTGGTTGAGGCAGGCTCGGCGTTAGTGGCGGGTTCGTCGGAGGAAAAAGAGCGGGGGCCGGTGTTGGGTGAGTTGAAACGAGATGAGGTGAAGGCCAGTATGCAGAAAAAGAGA